AGCCAAAGAAACAGCTGCCGGCACAGTTGAGGCGGCCCAGGAGACTGCTGCAGGTGCAGTGCAGGGGGCCAAGGAGACAGCGGCTGGTGCCGCGCAGGCTGTGCAGGAGAAGGCTGCAGGTGCTGTGGAGACGGTCCGCCAGGCGGCGGCCCAGGTTATAGAGGTGGGGCTGCTCATCCAATCCTCTGCTCCTTTCTGCTGAGAGAACTTGCTGCACATGCTTCCACCCCTCAACTATCTGGCTGCCTGCCTGCCCATACCGTCCTGCCTGGCTGTGTACCGCACTGTGCTGCAGACAGCCAAGGAGAAGCTGGGCATCGCGCCGCAGGAGGGCGTGGGCGAGGGCGCCGCACGCAAAGCGGGTGAGGTGGCAGCAGCACCATTGCCGGCAGTCGGCCAAGGAGGGCTGTTCTGCTCAGAAGTGAGATGTTGGTGCATTTACCTTCTGCTCCCCGCGTACGATTGCGTCTGCCGTGTGCCCTGCCTCTGTGAGACTGCAGGCGAGGCTACGGAGGCCGCCAAGCAGAAGGCTGCTGACACCGGTGCCGCCGCTCGCGATACCGCGGCCAGCACTGCCTCCGCAGCCCGCCAATCCGCCGCTGACACCGCCGCCGCGGCGCGCGACACCGCGGCTGGTGCCGCGGCCAGTGCCCAGCAGGCTGCTGCCGACACAGCGGAGCGCGCCAAGGCGGCGGCGGGGCCGTATGTGGAGGGTGCCAAGGAGGCGGCGGTGGATACCGCTGCCGCCACGAAGGCAACGGGAGAGGTGCGTGGGCGAGCATGCTGGCATGCTTCTGTGGCCCATGCTGTGCCATCTATTGAAGGCTGAACTTGAGGGGCTCAACGGCTGTTTCCTGTACTTGCTAGCGTTGCAGGTTGGTTTCAAAATAACGTTGCTGCCCCGCTCCTTGCAGGCCGCCGTCGATGCGACCAAGGCCACCGCCGGCGGCCTGGCTGAGACAGCCGCCACCAGTGAGCGAGCATGCTGGCACGATGCCCATTCCATGATGCTGGCTGGCCGATGCACTCGACTTCCCTGCCCGCTGCTCTGCACCGCACCTCAATGCTACACCTGGGGATCGACCATGCTCCTGTGCTGGCTTGCTCTGTTGCAGTGGCCGAGGGCGTCAAGCAGGCCGCCGTCGACACGGCTGCCTATGTGAGGGACACCGCCGCCAGCGCAGGTAGGGTAGGGCAAGGCCCATTCGCCTTTGCTGGGTGAGCGCTTTGTCCCTGTCATCATTCTATGTCCTCTTGCCTTTTGCCTCGTACCTTCTACCCTGCAGCCGAGAGCGCCAAGCAGGTTGCCAGCCAGGCGGTGCAGACCACCAAGGAGACAGTCACAGGGGTGAGCTGTTCCCCTGTTGTTGGACGGCGCAGGATGTGGTGTGCGGTGGCGTGAAATGGGTGGAGGGGGCTCTGGCAGCGTGGCCTGCCGCTGTGGCTCATGAGACGTGCCTTCACCTCCAACCTTCTCCCTTTGTGTGGGGCCAGCATGGGAGCGGTGCGAAGCATTCAGCTGATTGAACTTGTTGGAAATCGGCACTGCATCAGATTCCACCCTGCCCCCTGCCCACCGATGCAGCTGCCTGAGACCGTGTCGCAGACCTACACCCGAGGTAAAGAGATGGCGGCTGAGAAGGATGCCGAGGGTGTGGTATGTGTGCCGGCAAGCCAGGTCAAGGAGGGCGAAGCCGGTCAGCCCACTGCTCACATAGGTGGGTGGGCTGGCCGGCCTGCTAGTGGCTGCTCTGCCATCCGGAGCAACAAACTGGGTGCCCCTTGAAGAGACTAATCGTCGGCCTGGGGCTTGGCATGTGCGTGTGCAGGTGCCGCGCCCGAGGATGCCACCCAGCAGTACGGTGGCGCTATCGGCGGTACGCCTTCCACCGGCTCCGGCGCAGACAGCGCTCAGATGGACAAAGAGGTGGGGCCTGTTGTGCCTCAGCTGCTGCCAGCCACTGCTCGCAACAGGCACCATTGCGGGAAGGGCGGGGGACGAGCACCCTGCTCAGCCTGCTCAACTCTGCTGCCTGCATGCATGCATGCAGATTCGCGACTACACTGTCGGCGTGCAGGAGAGCGGGGTGGACAAGGGCACCCAGACCTTTGAGGCTGCCTCTGGTGGCGGCGGCGGCCCCGTGGCTGGGGCTGGGGCCGAGGGCGCCAGCAAGGCGAGCGGGCCAACCACAGGTGGGTTGCCTGCTTGGTTCCCTCTTCGCGATTGCCAGTCTGTGAAAGCTGGGGATGAGGGTGCGACAGTGGAAAATGCACCCTTTGTTTTCCTGCTCAAGATGACCGCCCCGAGCCACACTAGAGACCTCCCTGTGGAATCTGCAGAGCCCAACGCCAGCATGACTTATATGCATGTTTGCAACCCTTCTCCCATGCCCCACAGGTGGCGCTGGCGGTAGCGCCGAGCCCACAATCGAGCCCGAGTCTGTGGAAGAGATGGCCCAGGCGGGCGAGGCGGCGGCGCGCAGGACCTGAGCCCTCCGCCGGCGGCTGCTGCCGTTGGGCTGCTGCGGCAAGTTGGTGGCAGCACAAAAGCTGTACAGGAGCGGCTGACATGGGGTGGGCAGTGGGGATCTTGCAAGGAGTAGCGCAGTGGTGGAACCGAAGTTCAATAAGTCGTTCAATCAGATCAACCATCAACCGTGACTTGCAGTGTGTCAGTGCTTGCCCTTTTGATCCACCGGCATGGTGAATGGGGGATGTTGTGCATGAATCGTAGTGTCAGTGCTTTGCTTGTAAAACTGGTTCGGGATCTGGCAGGATGGAAATTGAAACGCCGCAGGCACAGATGGGCGATCATCTCCTGCTGCCCATTGTCGCGTGGGAGGAACCGGCTGGGCCACATTACTGCTTGTCGCCGAGTCCTCGGATGGACTTGATCGCACGGTTGAGCGGGTTGTTCGCAGCATACCTGCACCATCACAGGAACCATCACAAGGGATCAGGATGCACGACTTCAAGCAACCATGCTGCCACCTGCCCATTGCACTTGTGCCATGCCAAGGAGGGTACGACCCACAGGGGAGCCGTTCACCACGACATACTCCAAATCAAGAGCAAGACCTACAGCCAGCAGGCAACTGATGCCCTGCACTCACGCATTGTAGAACACTGCCTCCAGGTCGGTGTTGGAGGGCCGGTGTTGCATGCGACCGATGGGCAGCAGCCGGTGGGCTTCCTTGCCAAAGATACGCCAGGGCGAGGCGGCGGGGTTGCCGCCCGTGCACCACTTGAACACGGCGCCCTCCTGTGGTCGTGGGCAGGCACGAGAGCTCCTGTTCATTTGAAGATTGTGGCACGCAGCTGGCACTTGTGCATGGGAGCTGCCCGCGGCAGGCCCAGATGCACGCGCAGCAGCGCCAGGAGTGCTGGGCAGGCAGCGCCGGTTGGTAGTGGTGCAGCAGCAACGCGGCAGCTCTCACCTGGCCGATGAATAGCACCTTCACCATTAGCGGCAGGAAGCAGTACACCGCCTCAAAGGACTTGATGAAGGCCACCTGCGCAGTGAAAAGTGCAGACAAGCGTGCTGCACAGAGGGGCGAGGGCTGAGGGCGCACAGCAGGCTGTCCTGCCTGGCGCTCGCGCACCTGCTCCACTGGCGCCTGCTCCGTGCTCCAGTCCGCATTCAGCACCACCGCGCCCGGGCCCCGCCAGTAGGCCAGCAGCCGCATCGTGGCATCTAGCTGCAGGCAGCGCACAAGAGCAGGGCAGGGCGTGCGTGCAGGGCCGGACAAGGCAGTTGCCGGCATCGCCCATGCCAGGCATCAGAGTTCCATGCAGCAGGGGTTCAAGAAAGAAAGCACCTGCGTGGAGGAGGGCCCCGCGATGAGCAGGCAGCCGTCCAGGTCGGTTCCATCGGCCACACACCGCTGCAAACTGACGACCGGCACGCCGCTGCCACCGCTGCTGCTGCCCGCCGCGCCGTCCTCGCCGCAGCTGACTATCACAAACTGCTGCCGCAGCTGTTTGGGCAGCGCCGCCAAGATGTCCTGCGCTAGCTGCAGCATGGCAGCTGCACCAGTCTCCAACACAGGCACATCCACGCTCAGCTTGGCGCAGCTGGAGCCGGCAAAGCCCTTGCCCTTGGCGCCGCCGCTGCCTGCCAGCTGCGCTGCAATAGCTGCCGCCGCCTGCTGGATCTGCGCAATGCATTGGCGGGGCAGATGGCGGCATGCCACTCGTGCTGTGCACAAGTCGCGGGGGAGACAGCAGTAGCGGGAGCAGCAGCAGCGGCGGGTGTTCCCGGCTCACCGCTTCGTCCCGAGACTGGGGCAGCTTTGATTCCTGCTCCCCCGCGGGCTGCGAAAAGCCAGTGGCTAGGCAGACAGGAGCTGCGGTGCTGCGCTCCTGCCGCTGTAGGACCCAAGGCCGGGCGGGCTGGCTGCGCTGCTGCTGATGGGGCGATCTACGGACGCTGCACGCCCTGAAGATCGTCCCGCACTTCGTCTCGCAAGGGCTGCGCTGGGCCGAGAGCGGCTGAGCAATGCAGCACGCCATCTCGCTCTCCAAGAGGTTCAGAAGGCAAGGGGAGTATCGCAGAATGACGAGCGGGCAATGATGGGACGACCGACGCCCACCTTGCCTGGAGGATGATGGGGGATGTGGCGCAGCTTGGCACAGCAGGTGGAACCGCGCATGTAATAAGCTGTCTCACAATGTGTATCCCTGTCCCTTGCTGAAATTGAGAGCATGGGCTTTACACCGAGAACCTTTGATTCCCGCAGGGCATGACCCATCGTGCGGGGTGGAGCGCGTTGTGTGGGCGGCCCAGCGTGCAAGCCAGGTCGCGCCGCATGGCATCCGCGTTGAGCTGGTCCTCGAGCAGCTTCACATCTGCAAGGGCAGGAAAGAGAGGGCAGGCGGCCTTGCATACTCAATTGGTCAGGCGTGCTGGTTCCGCTCATGCTGCCGGCCCACCCGCCTCCCGCCATGCACGCGTGGATGCCAGGTCACCCGGCTCGCGAGGTGCCTCTAACAAGCCGACTCACGCAGGCTTTAAGGGCGTCGCCTTGTCCAGAAAAGAAAAGCAGGCTGAGGGCGAAGTCGAACACGAAGATGAGGACCAGGGAGATGACGACGGCCGAGGTGGTGCTCTCGCCCACGCCCTTGGCGCCGCCCGTGGTCGTATAGCCCCAGGCGCAGCTCACTGCAAGCGGCAGGGCAGGCAGGAGGCCAGGCAGTGGGTGGAATGGAACTATTTGGAAGCTTATGGGCGCTCACCCAACCTCCCCTGGCATCACCCACCCGTGGCGATGATGGTGCCAAACACCCAGCACTTGATCATGGAAGTGATGACGTCCCAGGAGCTGATGGCGCGCATGGCGGAATCCAGGATGACGTTGCAGCTCACATTGTACACAGTGTCCGCAAGAAGCACGCTGGCGCCCATGCCTGCACGCGCGGAGGCACACGGCGGCAGCGGGTGCAGGGAGCGTGGCTGAGGGGCGGGGAGGTGAGGGTAGGTGGGCGGCAGCGACACATGAGACGAGCAGCTCTCCGCGCCGCAGGCCTCCCCAACGGCCCTCATTCGCGCCCTGGATCCCGAACTCTCTCACCCATCCTGCCGCCGCTGCACACACTGACAATGGTGTCATCTGCGCACCCCCCCTGCCCCGGCTCACCCATGCAGAAGCAGAGCAGGTTGAGGATGGGGCCCGCGACCATGCAGGCCATCACGCGGGGCGTGATGAGGTAATCAACCGGGTCTGAGCCCAGCACGCGTAGCGAGTCGGTCTGCTCCGACACCTGCGCCGCAGGGCAAGCACCAGCGGCGGCAGGGAGGGGATACGTGGTGGCCCCTGCATACTTGTCGATGTCTTTCGCAATCCACGGCGCTCTGGTGCCGTCTACACGCCCCTGCTCACCACGCTGCGTCACGTGGCCTGCCCCGCTGCCCACCAAATGCCCAGCCAGGGCTTCACACACATGCATACACGCAAAACTACCGTGCCTAGCCACCTGCATCGTTCCCAGCTCTGCGGCAAAGGCGGATCCCACGCGTCCCGCCACAATAATGGAGGTGACCACAGGCGTCAGCTCGCGGGACAGCGCCAGCGCCAGCACGCCGCCCACCGACCGCGTCAGCCCCAGCTTGGCAAACTCTCTGCGGCAGGCAGAGCATGGGGGTGGTCAGACTTGAGTTGGAAGCAGGTGCAGGGGCCCAGGCGGCGGAAGGCCAACACATAGCAGCAGCCAGCGCGGCACACAGAGAAACCAGCTTCCGTCCGTGCTGCTGTTCGTGCCCCTCGTGCCCCTGCTCCTGCCGCCACCTGCCCCGCATGCTCTAGCCACCACCTGCCCCTGCCCCAGGCCACGCACCTGATGAACTGGATTGTGAAGACCATGCCGACAAAGGCGGCTGTGAGCAGGCAGACGCCCAGCGAGCGCGGCCCCACCATGTTGAGCTGGTCCAGCGTGTTCTTCCAGTGGATCTTGCCTGCAAGGAGAGGGTCAGGGCGCAGGCAGGAAGAGCAGGTGGGCTTGGGAGGAGCAGGCGGGAGCAGGATGGGAGGAGCAAGCAGGGAGCCGTTAGGCGGGAGGTGGCGGCAACACAGCGTGCTGACAGGGAGGCCTCGTCTTCTCGGTCTGCCAGGACGCAGCCGCAAGGATGGGCAGCGAGGCAGCCAGCACGTGCCCTTGCGGCCTCCACCGAGCAACCGGGTGGCGACCCGATGCAGCCGCGTCTGCTTACCCTGCAGGATGCGCACTAGCGCTTGGCCGCCCAGCACCACCGCCGCAATGGTGCGCCACAGGCTCTTGGGCGGCTTGATGCTGCACAGCCACTCCCAGGCACCCTGCAGCAGCAGGAGCGCATTGCCGCCGCCGCCGCCGCCTGCCGCCCCGCTGGGCTCCGCCGCCCTGCTGCTGCCGCCTGTCGTGGCTATGTTTCTCGCCGCTGATGGTGCCTGTCTGCGGGGTGCTGCTGTCAGAGAAGGCCGTTGCGGCGCCAAGGGAGCCCCTGCGAAAGCCGATCGCTGAGCTCGCACGGGAGCAAAGCCCCGCGGTCCCCCGGGCTTGTATAGCTGCTGCTGACAGCGGGGAGACGTGCTGGCTATGCCCCAGGCGGCTGCCGCGAGGGCTGTCATGGTGCAAAAAAGCTAGGGAGCCCCTTTCGCTCACTCCACCCTAATTACGCGTTCACAGGCGTGTCGTGACTGCAAGATGCGCCTTCCTTAGCAACATGTGCTGTCCTGCTGTGCTGCCAGACGGCGCTGCCGTTCCATGCATGCCGTGCACCATCGTCAATGCAATTCTGAGGCTGGGTTTCATTTGTCTTGCTGCAACAGATTAGAACGCAAGCATATCAACAGCAGGCATCCATTGTAAGAATTCATGATGGGTGCCCCAAGTTGCAGCATCATCTAACGTCGTGGCGGCTGTTGCCCATGCCCGAATGCACGCATGACAGCAGCTTGCTCGACAATGGCAGGATGCATCAGGGCCCGTCTTCCTTCAGCTTGATCTGCTCCACAGTCTTGCTGATGGTGAACTGTAGCAGGGCACAATGCGTGCACTGGGAGGGTGCATGAACAAAACCGGTCAGCTGCTGGAAAGGAGACCGCACGTGCGCACCTCATCAACACAGAGGCGGAAGCAGCCGCCACAGTAGTCTGCAGGGCAGCGTAAGCTTGCCACATGGGCACAGCTGGGTGTCGATGTACAGGTTCCCAGCGCTGCGCAAGCATGCACGGCATGGTACAGCGTGGCACAGAGCGGCGCAGCTCACCGTCCAGGCAGACGAGCTCCTCGGCGCACACCCCAGGCTGCTGCGAACGGCCTGGCATGGCAGGCTGCCGCGTCGCGCTGGCAAGGCCCCCGACCGGTCAGCGCCTGGACGACTCTCTCCACCGGAATGCCTGCGCCAACGGCACGCAGCAGGCGACTGACCAGGGCAAGCCGCGCATTGTTACGAGGACAGGGCCACTGGCAGGCACAGCGCCCGAGGGACATGCTGCCAACCGATGCTGCACTGCTAGCAGGCTGCATTGTGCAACCAGCAGGGGCGCGCACCTTGCAGGAGGGCAGCCAGGCGCTCCTCTTTGCCGGGCGGCGGCGGCGGCGGGGCTCCAGAGGGCGAGCCAGGGCCCACCGCCGAATCTTTGCGGCATCAGAGGGCCCCTGCTGTGCCTGGCCTGCCACATCCTTGGCCGCTTTCTTCGCTGTGCCGGTCGGCGCCTCTTGCGCCTGCTGCAACCGCGGGTCGACTGCGGCCTTCTTGGCGGCATCAGGCGGCGGCTGCTGGGGGTCCCCCTCCACCTCATTGGCCAGGTCGGGCTGGCCCAGCTTGACGGTCTGGGCGGCGGCAGACGCCGCCAGGGACAGCAGCAGCAGCAGCAGCAGGAGCAGCGGGAGCGCCACCGACTGGAGGCGGGCCGCGAGTTGGGCGGCGGGGCGGCGCGCCGCCGTGGAGGGATCCATGCAGCCTTGGACTACCTCTCTCTTCTCGTGGATGGCAGTGCCCTCATAGCCATCAGCCGAATTGGAGGTGGGAGTTGAAGAGGCACTACTGCCTCGTGAAGCTTCACCTTCCTGCGCCTTCTAGGCAATGCACCGCATCTATGGGCAGGGATAGGAAAGACCCCAGCGTCCCCAGTGTTCTCCTCTCCACTCTACCCACCACTCTCAATGAAGCCTGCCATGGGAACTCCAAGCGACCACCCAGATGGTGGTGGCCGCCAGGGGCGCACCGCCGGTGGGCGGCAGCCGTGCTGGCCTGCCCAGCACGCATCCAGCCAATCCGCTCCTTCTCTGCATGTCAGCAATGCCTCATCCGTGCATCATTTACAAGGGCGCAGACGGCAAGCAAGGCACACACTCTAGAGGTCGTGGCAGCACCAGGCACTGACAGCTCCAGCCGTTGCAGGCATCAGCGGGGCGGGCTGCCGTCAGGCAAGCTGGTGGGAGCAGCTGGCGTCCCCTGCTAGCTGCCGCCTCCAGTGCTTCCGGGAGTCGGAGCAGCGGGCTGAGCCGTTGCTAGGCCGCGCTGGTATCCTGCCTGCAAGCTGGCAGAGAGGGTGAGCTGGTGAAAGCCGGACTGCACACGTGCATGCCGCCCGGCACCAGCAATGGCCCCCGCCCGCAACCCGCCACGGTGCACACTGCCGGCCCGACGAAGCACCGCCACTGCCCACCGGCCCCTGCGCCCCTAGGAGCAAGCCGACATGGCACGCTGCAGACACTGGCGGCACGCACCTGGTAGAGAGCCTGCAGCATGGCGTGGAACTCGCGGCACTCGCGCATGCTGTGCGGCGCATGGCAGTAGGCGCACAGCGCGGGCGCAACAGCCGGCAGCGGCGCCACCACAGGCGGCGCCCTGAGCTGCCCTACAGGCCCCTGCGGCAGCGCCACGGGCAGCGGAAGACCGGGGGCCACGGGCTGCGGCCCAGCAGGGGAGACGGGCCCTTCCGCCGCCCCGGCGGGAGTCCAATACACTGTGGCTGTGGGCGCCGCCGTTGCTGCTGGCGTGGGTGCTGCTGCTGCCGCCGGCGGCGCTGCTGCTGTGTGGGCCGGCGGACTGGCAGCGGCACGCTGCTGCCCCGCCGGGCTGCTAGATGATGCCATCTGGAGGTATAAGCGCACCTGCAGAGGGGGGGACCAAGGCAGACCAACGCTGGGGAAGACAACTCGGCTGTCAATCAGGCTGGCAGGCGGGCGGGCGGGTCGAAGGGCAGCGCGTGAGCTCAGGTATGAAAGGCAGGCAGGCGATCAAGCAGGCAGGCAGGCTGGCTGGCAGGCGATCAAGCAGGCAAAGCAGGCAGGCGGGCAGGCGGGCACCGAAGCGCCCTCACCGTCTTGGCCTCCCGGTTGAAGCCGCTGTCCGCCAGGCCCGCTCGCCTGGCCAGCTCCGGGCACACAAACTCGTTCAGGCGGCCAAACTGCGACTTGAAAGCGTGGGCCCCCAGCTCCCGCTCCTTCTCCAGCACCGGCAGCAGCACGTCGCAGCACTTCTGCGTGAACTGGCTGAGCGGCAGCGGGTCGGCGGCGGCCACCACCAGCGGAACCAGGTGCTCGTACACCTGCAGGCGGGTGGTGGGCGGGCATGGCGGCAGCGGCGCATGTGCGCGGAACTGGAGTGGTGGCAGGCACGCGCCGACGAGCTGGGAGCAGCAGGCGGCAGGCGGCGTAGCGCTGCGGTGCGCCTGCTGCTGCGGGTGCCGCTGCTGGGCTGGGCCCACCCACCGTCCTCTGGATGTCTGGGATGCGCGAGTGATCCAGGTTGAGGCCTGCGGCAGGCAGGCAGGGATGAGACAGGGGGCTTGCTGTTGCTGTCTTTCGTGTGCCACACGTCCTTTGCGTTGGTCACAGGGCTCAAATGCGATGCGCACGGAAAGCAACAGCAGAGTAGGAGCAGCAGCTGATGGTGTGGATCCAGGTTTGGGCGGCATCAGATGCCGCCAGGCGCTACCCGGTGCCACCTTGTGGGAAACCCAAGGCGCTGCCCTTGTGCTGGCGGCGCTGGCACGGTGCACGGCCTGCCGGCGAATTGAGCAAGGCGAGCGTGCGGTTGCACACCTGAGGGGCCGCACAGCCCCTTCCAGGCACTCCGCTCGCCGCCCTCGGGATCGGTGCCGCGGCGGGGCCCGCCAAAGCTGCTGCCGCGCCTTCCCGCAGGCCGACCGCCGTCCATGGCGCACGGTCTAGGCAGAGGAACAGAGCAAGAGTAGCGGCAGCGCCCTGCAGATAAGGGACGAAGGGTTGGAGCCAGCAGGCTGCTCGTAGCCCGTCGCGCCGCCGACTCAACGGCAATGCCAATACGCAGGCGGCGGCGGAGGGGAGCAGGGCGGGCGCCCAGCGACCTGGGATCTCCCAGAGACCTGGGATGCACCGACGGAGGCGAATGTGAACCCAACCCGCCCTGAGGGACTGTGTGGCTGTGCAATGCGGGGCTGGTTTTAGCGGGCGGGTTCACACACCTCCTGCAAAGCTACGCCACGCTAACTACGATGCACAGGTGCAGGCGGTGCAGAAGAGAAATGAATATGCATGATATATGTCCGTCTCGATTGGATGGGCCTCTGGCTTTCCAGGCGCCGCCGCCGCCGCTCGCGTCGCAATATGCCAAGACCGCTGATGGGTGGATGGGTGGAGCGGCTCTGGAAATGCATCTGCACATTGTGAGGCAATGTACCGCGTTCCGATGCAAGCGTTGGCAAACATGGCGGGCGCGCCCACAACGCGCACATTGCCGTCACCGCCGCCCCATTGCATGCCTGCCAGGTACTCAGAAGTGGCCACAGGCGCTTCATCAATGAGGAGAGATCGATAAACCAATAAAATCGGCTGGGTTGCTCACCGAATGCGGGCGCAAGGCGGGGCGGCAGCGGCGGCGGCTGGCGGCTACTCCCGCCCTGCAGCAGCCCGCCCGAGCCCTGTGCATGTGGCGGAAGCATTCTGATCGCTCCCACATGCGCTGGGAAGCAAACTGTCCCTGAATTTGCAAGCATACTAGTGCATTCCACGACCTGCGTGGACCAGCGTGCACAAAGGAGTCCGCTGCGAGCGCCCTGCCGACCTTTGCACACCCCACGCGCCCCTCAGCAGCGATAGCACAATGTCGTATGACTTCCAGCTCAAGCCGCACCCCAAAATCCCCAAAAGTGATGGTCCGCTGCTCGTGTGTGTGCTGGATGGCTACGGTGAGCAGTCATGCTGCTGCGGTTCATATTGCATTGCGCTTGGAGCAGGCAGACACGGCGCAGGGACTCTGGGTTGACAGCAGCAGTCGCGCCGAGGGTTTCCATGCTGGCGGCCTCCTGCAAGCAGCAGCACTGAGCAGCATGGGGCAAGTGTCGTTGCACGAACGCGGGACGAATGCGCTGGGGACGTGGAGTCAACCCACCGCCGCCGCCGCCGCTGCCACTCGCCCGCTGCTGCCCTTGGCAGTTGTTCACGCTGGATTGCTTGTCCCTGGCTTGCGCCTGTACTACCCCCCACAGGCGAGAACAAGATAAAGGATGACTACAACGCTGTGCACGTGGCAGATACGCCATGCACCGATGCGCTGAGGGCGGTGCCGGGCCGCTTCTGCACCCTCCAGGCCCACGGCAAGGCGGTGGGCCTCCCCAGCAACGACGACATGGGTGCGCTCCTGCGCCTGTGGGATGCACCCGCTGTTTTGTTGTGCGCAGCAGCAACGCGCCTCTCTGCAGGAGCGGCGCGGGCTGCCCGCTGCACCCCGCCGCTCCCAAGCTGGCCACCCATGCCGCTCCGAGCTCCTACACCTGCCGAGCCTCGCCCGCTGCCCCGGCCCGCCGCCTGGCTGCAGGCAACAGCGAGGTGGGGCACAACGCGCTGGGCGCGGGCCAGCTGATCGACCAGGGCGCCTCGCTGGTGGACGGCGCGCTGCGCACCGGCTCGCTCTTCTCTGGAGAGGGCTGGGCCTACATCGCGCCCGCCTTTGCCGGCAACACCCTGCACTTCATCGGCCTGCTGTCAGACGGCGGCGTGCACTCGCGCACAGACCAGCTGTACGGATGCCTGCGCGGCGCCGCCGAGCGGGGAGCCAAGAAGATCCGGTGCGTGGGTTGCGGCGCGTGGCGGCGGAGGCGCAGAGGCGGCGGCATGGGCAGCGGTTGCCAGCTGGTGCCTGCTGGCCAGCACTCGACACCTAGCTTGCCTCGCTGCCGCTGCTACATGCTGCCGCTGCCTGCCTGCCTGTGTGCCCACCCACTCGCCTGCCTGCCTGCCTGCCCTCTCGCCCGCCTGCCTGCCTGCCTGCCCTCTCGCCCGCCTGCCTGCCTGCCCACTCGCCTGCCTGCCTGCCTGCTCGCCCGCCCGCCTGGCGCAGCGTGCACTTCCTCACCGACGGCCGCGACGTGCCGGACGGCTCCTCCCTCAAGTTTGTGGAGGAGCTGGAAGGGGTGTTGAAGGAGCTGGCGGTGAGCGGCCATGGGCAGCGCGGGTGGCGGCGGTGGCGTGCGCAGGGCAGCGGTGGTGGTGGGAGTGCAGCCTGGTGGTGGTGGTGGTGGCACGGGTTGGTGGGGGCTTGTGGGCGTTGTTGCGGAGCTGGGGCAGTGTCGGCAGCATCGCGCTGGGCTGTACAGAAGCAGGTGAAGAGACGCTGCTGACCAGAGCGTGCCTGCCCCTCCCCTGCCCCTGCCCCTGCTGCGCAGGCCACCGGCTGCGACGCCAAGATCGCGTCTGGCGGCGGCCGCATGTGTGTCACCATGGATCGCTGTGAGCCCCGCCGCCCGGCTCCCCCTTTGTGCTTGCTGGCGGTGTCTGTGGCTTGCAGCGAGGGGACTGCTGCTGCAGCTCCTGCATTAGCTCCTGCTGCTGCCGCTCTTGCTGCCGCGATTGCACGCGCGGGCCTGGGTGCCTCGGGGCTGCTCCTGGCTGCATGCATGATGGCAGGCCCGGCCCGCTCTGCCCACCCCGCGCGCCTCCCCTCCCTGTGTGCTCTCCTGCAGACGAGGCCGACTGGAACATTGTGAAGAAGGGGTGGGATGCGCATGTGTTGGGCCAGGCGCCCCACTACTTCAAGGATGCGCTGTCCGCACTCAAGGAGCTGCGGGTGAGCTGGCAGCATGCTGGCGGGCAGGGGGTGGGGAGGGGTGGGATGCAAGCTTGGCCCTGCTGCGCCGGTGGGTGAGGTGGCAGGGGGGACGGGATGGGATGCCCCGGCCTTGCTGCGGGTGTTGGCGGGGCAGCGCTCGGCGAGCTGGCACGTGGTGCAGCCGGCTAGAACCACGTTTCCACCTGCTCGGCGCTGCCAGCCCTGGTTCCTCCCACCACCATGGTGCCTCTAATGCACCTGCGCCGCCCCTGGCGCTCTGCCCCCCGCAGAAGGAGGGCAGCGAGAAGCCCGTGTCTGACCAGTGGCTGGACCCGTTTGTGATTGTGGGCGAGGACGACAAGCCGGTTGCCACGATTGAGGACGGTGAGCAGCGCCGGAAGCAGGGGGTGGCGGCGGGTGGTTCCACACGGGGAGGATGCGTGGCACATGGCTTTGGCGGTGGATGCATCAACTGCCGTGCTTGCCCATGCTTGCCCTCCCACCCTTCACATCCTCACCACACCTTTCCTTGCCTTGCCCTTCATGCTCCCCCCCCTCCATTTTCTCTCTTTCTTCCTTTCTTTCTTTCTTTCCTCTCCGCAGACGATGCTGTCGTCATCTTCAACTTCCGCGCCGACCGAGTCATCGAGCTGAGCAAGGCGAGTGCCCCCCCCGGCTTCATTGCGTGTGTCTGTATCTGTGCTGAACGCATGGCTGAGCGTCCTGGCCCGCTGAGGGGCTGGCCTGTTTACGCGCATGTTGCTGCCCAGCATTGCTGCCCTGCGCCATACCCCACCGCCGCCATCCTTCCCCCCCGCAGGCCCTGGAGTATTCTGAGTTCACGGCCTTTGACCGCGTGCGCTTCCCCAAGACGCGGTTCGTGGGCATGATGCAGGTGGGGCTGCATGTGTGTGTGCGTCGTGGCGGCACTGTTTGTGCGCTCCTGTGTGGGGAGTGATCGGACCGAAGCACGGTGCCGGCTCGTGGTTTGGTGGAGGTTGGTGGCTGGGCGGGCCTGGGTGGCGGGCACCGCTCGGCCGGCTCCTCACGGTGCGCCCGCCCGTACCGCCTCCCGTACCGCCCCGCAGTATGATGGCGACCTCAAGCTCCCCACCAACTACCTCGTGCCGCCGCCCGCCATCTCGGGCACCTCGGGTGCGGTGCTGGCCGCTGCCTGCCCCTGCTGGTGGTTGCAAGCGCCGGGGCTGCGGATGGCTGTCGACACGCCCGCCCCATATGTTTGCCTTTCTTCCTTGCTGCCACAAACACACTGACACACCATTCTTTCTCCCCAGCTTTCCCACACGCCCCCGCCTCCCTCCCCCTCTCTTCCTGCTCCTCCAGGCGAGTTCCTGGCCAAGAACGGGCTGCGCACGTTTGTGTGCAGCGAGACCCAGAAGTTTGGCCACGTCACCTTCTTCTGGAACGGCAACCGCTCGGGGTACTTTGACGAGGAGCTGGAGACGTATGTGGAGGTGCGGCGTGTGCTTGGGTGTGTGCGGCGGCGTGGGGGTGCATGCTGAGGTGCGGTGTGCAGCTGGAGTGGGGAAGGGGGGGTGATGGGCTCAGCTGGCTGTGACGTGCGGATGTGAGGTGCGGCGGACGGCTGTGGCAGGCATGGCAGCCTGGGCTATTCGGCTGGCTGGCCTGGCGGGGCGATGTCCCGGCGGATGTGGGCGGAGGTGTGCGGCTGTGCTGGCTGGGCTGAACCCTGGACTGGCTTCCCTCCCTAACCAACCAACCAAGCAGCCAACCAGCTCGCCCTCACCCCCCGGCAGATCCCCTCCGACACCGTCCCCTTCAACGAGCTGCCCGACATGAAGGCGCGCGAGATCTGCGAGGCCGGCAAGGAGGCGCTGCGCTCGGGTGAGGCCGCCCTGCTAGCGCTAGCGTGGGCCGCCGCCAACTGGCGGCATCCCTGCTTTGCCCTGACTGTACGGCCGTGCAGAATGGTCGCAATTCATTTGTCGCCCAACCAACTGCCTGTGCTGCAAGCATGTACTGTACTGCTACCCTCTCCTGTGTGTGCCGCAGGGCGGTACGACCAGGTGCGCATCAACTTTGCCAACCCCGACATGGTGGGCCACACCGGTGACCTGGAGGCCACCGTTCGCTGCTGCACGCTGGTGGACAAGTGTGTCAAGGTGCGGGGCATGGTGGGGAGCTGTGCCTGTTTGCTGCTGCTGCATGCGGAGCGGATGCCTGGTGCCAGGAGGGGGGAGCAGCCTGTTGCTGCTGCGTCTGTGGTTGCCTCCATCTTACGCCGTTGCTGCGGCCCTGTTCTGATCCTAGTCTTCTCGGCCCTTCCTCCCTCCATCCCTGCAGGAGCTGCTCGAGGTGGTGGACGAGATGAACGGCCGCTTCCTGGTCACCTCAGACCACGGCAACGCAGACGACATGGCGCAGGTACTGCAGGGCTGTGTGGTGTGGCGGGGCTGTGTGCTGGTGTGCTGGTGTGTTGGTGTGCATCGTGGGAGGCGGGTGGCGCTGCTTGGTGGGCCGCTGGATGGCCTGCAGAGCACCCAAAGCAAGCAGGCTATGCAAAACCTTGTCTCGTGCCTGCCTGTGCCTGCGCCTGTGCTCGTGCCTGCAGCGCGAGAAGAAGACGCTGAAGCCGATTGTGCAGGAGGGCAAGGTGGTGTCCCTCACCTCACACACCCTGGCGCCAGGTGCGGCCAGGGCCGGCAGCAGTCGGTCACCCTGCCACGCCCTGCGCGCTTGTGTGCGCATCGAGGGCTGTCTCCCCGATCCGACCCAAACAAGGCACATCACAGCGCCACCATCACCGCTTACCCTCCCCGCCCGACCCGCTGCTCCTCCTGTCGCAGTGCCTCTGGCCATTGGCGGCAAGGGCCTGCCTGCTGACGTCAAGCTGAGGGACGACCTGCCGTCTGCCGGGCTCGGCAACGTGGCCGCCACAAGTGAGGCTCGGGAATGGGAGGGCTGCTTGCTGCTGCTCCTGGAGCATGGGTTGCGCGTGTGTGTGTGTGTGTGTGTGTGGATTGTGCAGGGCAGCCAGCCGGACCGAGCACCTGTCGCTGCTGCCTGCCGGCGCTGAGCAAGCCTGTGCTGCCGGTGCCGCTTCCTCTTTGCTGCAGTCTTCAACCTGATGGGCTTTGAGGTGAGCTGGGCTGAGCCGAAAACAGGAAACCACTGCGTGCTGAGGTGACGGGTATTTGGCAGGCGCTCATGCCCCTGCTGCTCCCCTTTGTGCTGCTGCAGGCGCCGCCGCACATGCTGCCGTCCCTGCTGGCGCCCTGAACCTGCCGCCCTGGCACACGTGGGTTGCATGATGCCCCTGCGAGGCATGCCGCCCTCGCAGGCGCCAGCGCCAGCGGCCATGCCAGCTGCGCCCTTGCCATTCAAGGGGCAGCTGGGTGGCCTGCTGACGCCCCCGGAGATACTACCCCACCCCGAATTCCTTTGTTCATTACCGATTGTTCAACACTCCCCGTTCTGTGTCCTGGACTGCTTGCTCTGCCCTGTGCGTTCTTCCCTTTTGCTGCACGTCTTCTGGTGTAAAGTGGAAAGCGCATTTGATCAAACGAAAAGTAGAAACAGGGAGGAGGGGCTTGGGGTGTACGGTGAAAATCGCAGGGTTGCGCAAGAGGTTGGGCAGCAGGGGGGTTGAACAGTTAGGCAATCGTATCTAGGCAGCCTCATCTCACGGCTCGCTATAAGATAAAGGGATGGCACGGCGTGGAGTGAGAACCAATCAGGCATCGAAAAATCAAGGGGGGCAAGGGCAAGGGGGGAGCTTGAGGGGCGCTTAACTTTCATTCATAAGTGCAAAACATCGTTTGGAAAACTCAGGGGAGAGGGGGGTAGGTGACAGGGGGCGGAGGGGAGGCGCCGCAAGGAATGCTGTGGCTGCCAGTCCGGCAAGTGTCGATCGGCCATGTATTTGGGCGGCCCGCAAGCATGCGCGAGCTGGGCGGCAAAAAGGGGGCAGCAAGGGGAACAAGGGGCATGCCGCAGGAGGCTGGTGGCGGCATGCAAGGGCAAGGGCAAGTGCGTGAATTGTGGAGGCAAAAGCAAAGGGGAACAGGGCAGGCTCCACGAAACTTGGGGACAGGGGGTGGAGCACGGTGGAAGCATAAGGAGGCTTGGGGTGGCAAACAATGGCGAGAAGAGGCACGGTGGGAGGGGGCCTGGAGTTACAAGGGGAGGCACGGAGGTCTGTGTTCTTGGGGGTGCAGTGGTGTCAGGGAGGCTCGTGCCTGCTCCTGGGGAGGGGCTCTCACTGCCAGGTGGCCCACGCCTCGATGTGGCCTGGTTTGGTTGGCTATTGGGCCGCACCCTTCACCGCGGCGCCACCTCCATCCTCAGCCCGTTGGTGCGATCAAAGTTGAGGGTGATGTCGTAGGCCGCGGGGATGAGCTGGGTGGTGGGGTGCAGGGGCGTGAAGCGGCAGCGCTGGAGCAGCGTGGCAACCATCAGCGACACCGACATCTGAGGCAGCGGCGGGATGCATGCCAGCAGCACGCGGCATGCATGTCAGCCGGTGATCGAAGCACTTGTGTACCGATCACGAACAGGACCGCAGGCTGAGGCTGCTGGCAAGGTGCCCAGTGGGCCTGCCAGCTGAGCCCGGGCTGGCTAGAGGCAGGGCATGCCACAGGTGTACCTGCGCAAAGGCGGCGCCCAGGCACATGCGCGGCCCCGAGCCAAAGGGCAGCCACTGGAAGCGGTGCAGCGCAGCGCCTCGCTCGCCCAGGAACCTGCAGGGGCCGGGGGGGTGAGGGCGAGGAGGAGGGAAAGGGGCACTTGGCAACAGCCCGGCCAATGCGCACGCAACTGAGCAGGCTCAGCCGGCAGCCCCAGCAAAGCCCCTCCCTGGGTCTTGCTGAACAGCGCAAGCCCAGCAGGTGCAGCATGCACAGCGTGGCGCAGCATGCACGGCACACCTGTCGGGGTCGAAGCGCAGCGGCTCCTCCCACACGTCTGGCGAGCGGTGGAGGGCATAGGTGGACATGAAGACGACGTCGCCTGCCAGCAGGGAGAGGGAGCAGGCCAGCCAAGGGTCATGCGGGCAGCAGGAGCAGGAGCAGGAGCAGGGGCGGCACAGGCATGGGAACAGAGCAGCGCAACGACAGGGCCGGCACAAAAAAACGCGAGGCAGACGCAGCGGGGCAGCGATGGCGCTGTGGGTGTCCAGCTGGCTCTGCACTGGCCCCGCCGCCGGCTCCTCACACCTTTGAGGATGCGGTGGCCGGAGGGCAGCGTGTCTGCCTCTGCCGCCTGGCGGGGGAAGATGGGGATGGCGGGGTAGAGGCGCAGCACCTGGAAAGGGGGAACGCAAGGCGGGATGCCACGCATGCTGCTTGACAGAAGCCCTGCCTGTCGGCAGGATGCCCGACTGTCCGTGCGAGCAGATGGGCACGGCATGGCGGAGTCCCAGCATTCAAACTGCTCAGAACGCCAGCTCAGCGCCAGCTCACCTCCTTGATCACGGCTTCCAAGTAGGGCAGCCGCCCCGACTGCACATCATCGTATGTGGCAGGCCGGCCGCCTGCAGGCGAGGCAGGCGACCTTGCGTCAGGGCAGAAGGGTGGCACGCCGGCAGCCGGTCAGGGCCCCGCGGCATGCTTGCCAGCCAGCACTGCCAAAGGGAGCGGCTCAGCACATGGAAGCGGCATGCGTGCAGCGCCAGGCGCCTCGGCGGCACGGCGGCGTCCACGGCTGCTCAGCCACAGTCGCTCGAGCGCTGCCAGCCAACCAGGCATGCGGGCAGCCTCTTGTCCCCGGCCCCCCCCCAGCCCAGCGCACCCAGCACGCTCTCCAGCTCCTGCACTAGCCGCGCCTCCACCTCTGGATGCGCAGAGATGGCATAGATGGCGGCGGCGGCGGTGGTGGCTGTGGTCTCGTGGCCGGCCCCCATCACGTCGTGCACATCCTCCCACAGCTCTTCATCTGCGGCAGGGAAGCAGGATGGGGAGGAGCGGAATGGGCCAGGAGGGAGCAGGCAGCAGCACTGGCGGGAGAGGCAGCAGCGTCCGGTGCAAAAAGGGGAGGGGCACAAAGTGGGTCAGGAGAGGCGTGAAACGGGCGGGTGGGGGTGGGTGGGTGGGGCGAGGAAATGCGGGGCTGGTGCGAACCGTGGCGCACCCGTCATCGGCACGCCATTGTCGTCGGTGGCTTGCAGCAGCATGTCCAGCAGATCGGCGGCCTCGGCCTCTGCCGCGCCGCCCGCGGCGCCTGCGCCGTCGCTGCCCGCGGCCGCCGCCAGGTGCTGCCGCCGCTCCGCAATCACGCCGAGCATGGAACTCCGCATCACCCCCACCGCCTCCCGCAGCGTGCGCAGCTGCCTGCATTGGCCGCAAGCACATCCATACAGGCAGTCTCATTGCTGCCTCCGCAGCAGATGCAGCATGCGGCAGCACGCTACAGGCTGCACAGGCAGGAAGCAGCCGGCGTTGGAGGCTGCCGGCACGGTATGGGCCACGCCCGCTTGGCAGCGGCTGCGCATCGGCGCATGCCTGCCGGCCGCAAGGCGCGGCAGCCTCGCGCCTGCTTGGTGCGAGGCGCAGCAGCCCTCACCTGAGCCCCACGGCGTCCATGAGGCGCAGGAGGGGCATCGGTGTGATGAACACCTCCCCCAGCACCTGCCCAAAGGCATTCACCGCCCACAGCAGCCGGTCCTGGTCTGACTCCGAGGGCTGGGCCCGCCCTCCCACATCCCTGCAGGCAGGAGGGGGAGGCGGTCGGGGCGCAGGCATCGCCAATGCCTGCCCCCTACGCACACCTGCGCCGGGCAGCTGACCTCGGATGCACCAATGCTGCCCTCCACCCACCACCGCCAGGCGCAGGCTGTGCCTTCTCCAAGCCCAAACGCACGCACGCCATGCACACATGCAACGCACACACGCGCCGCACCTGGCAATGGCCTGGCACTCCCCAAAGTCGTGGCTGAAGGCGGTGAGCCCCACCACATCCAGCGTCAGCCGCTGCGTCTGCACCGCCACATTAGTGGCAAAGGGGCCTGGCTGGCTCACAAAGGTGTCGGCCACGCGGGAAACCCTGCAGGGCCCAGCGATGGCAACCATCTTGGGCTCAGGCTTGCGGCGGCGGCGTGTGTTTCTGTGCCTGGCAGCACCGCCGCGCCCGCTGCCGCCGCTATCCGCCGTGCAGTGCCCGGCAGCCGCAGCCGGCGGGCCTCCCCCAGCCAAGCGGCCCGCCCCCACCTGTCCACCACCACCTCCCCAAACTTGCGCAGCAGCTCCCCGGAGCGGAAGGGCGGGCCGCAGAGGCGGCGGTGCCGCCGGTTGTAGTCTCCGCCAGACCCCAGCAGCCCCTTCTCGTGGGTCACGAACTTGTAGATGTCGGGCAGGACTGCATCGTATTGATGAAAAGGGGGGGCAGCATTGGTTGGGAGATGAAGTGGTGGCCGCAAAGAGGGTCGAGGGCGCCGCTTGCCAGGCAAGGCGAGCATGGCAGGCAACCGGGTGCCCGCCCTGTTGCTGTACACAGCTGCATCCTCCTCCACCTTCTCCCCAAGCTGCACAGCCCTGGCTCGCCCGTCTCACATCGCTCGGCATAGTTTTTGGGGTTGGCGGCGCACACGTGGGCGATGTCGCCCGGCGAGTTGAGGAACACCCAGCCCGCGGCGCCGTTGAGCGCCGAAGGGTTGGCGAACCGCGACACAGGCCCGTAGCGCGCCGAGAAGCGCAGCATCGCCTCGTGCAGGCCTTCTGTGAAGATCAGGCTGCACGCGGCGGCAGGTAGGGTGGCGGTGGGTGGCGGGCGAATGGCGGCGGAAGTGCCTTCGCTGGGACTGCAGCGCGGCGCTGCTCTCACCTAACATCCATTAGCGACTGTAGGCTAAAGGGGCTGGGCCCCGGGGTCTGCATGGCGCCATCGCCCTCCTCTTGCTGCTGCGCGGCGCCCTGCTGCCAGCCTTGCAGGGCGGCAGAGGCGGCGGCAAAGGGGCAGCTGGCGGTGGCCCCCTCTGCTGGCCCCGCTGCTGCCGAGCCTCTCAATTTCGCGCCCCTCCCATTTGCCTGGGGCCTAGGGCGCACCGCTGGAGCGGGCAGGCAGCGGCAGGTGGGCTGCCACAGTGACGAGGCTGGTGACGGAGTGGTGGCAAGCATGGCAGCCCCCCCTATGGCACTACCGGCAGAGCTGCCGGCGCCGCGATCGTTGCCAGTGGAGGCGACATCGTTGCAAGATGGTTCGGACCCCTGTGGCCGAGTCGACGTGTCAAGGTCAGGAAAGATTCTCCCAGCTTGCAAGCCCCTGAGACGGTCATGGCAATGTGGAGGAGCCAGGAGATTCCCGGATCAGCTTGAAGATCATGGGGTCCGACATCTTAATGAGCCGGTCGGCCAGGCAGCGGCAGGTGGCAGCAGGCGGGCGGCCAAACACGGCAGGCGGCACGCAGGCAGCCATCAAACTTGCATCATGCGATACAGGGGGCCTGGCAGCTGCTCTCCATGTACTGCACCCGGGCAGTTCAACTGTATCTACTAGTTGGGCCCCCGGATTGGGGGGGGGGGCGCCGCCGCGTCAGTCAACCCGGCGGGAGTTCGGCGGCGAGGCGCGGATGGGTGTCCCCATCTATTGCCATGGCACAGACAGCACGTTACAAAAACTGTACTAATGATTAGCCATGTTTTGGGGCAGGTGATGGGGCTTCCCAGCCCTGATTACACTGAGGGTTGGGTATAAAGCTTGATGGATGGCCTCAAAGAGTGTAAAAGCGATGGGAAATGCGCTGGAGGGCAGGCAGGGTGTAGACATCACACGCTTGCAGTGCCATGTCGCCGCCAGAGCACAGTGGCATTCCACACAGCGCGCATACATGGAGTGGCCAGCATGCTTGTTGCTGTGCGAAGGCTGGGTGTGCATCCCTGTCGAAGGCTGCTGTCCCCCGCAATCGACTGCCGCTGCCCCACGCCGCCTGCCGCCGCCGCCGCTTCATGTGCTGCCGCCCAGCACTCCCTAACTGGACCAGCCCCGTGACCCTCTGCCGCGGTTTATTGGCATGCCCGCTTCAAAATCTGTATCTGCAGCCAGTTGTTGTCTTCCTTCCAGGACGTGGAGAGGCCAGGAAGTTGCCACAGCACGCTGCCCGCTCGGATTTGAGAGCATCATCATTGGCGCTGTTTCACTCCATCCTCTATTTAGGCTTGGAGGAGGGCAGCCGCAAGCCCAGGCACCGTGCTGCAAACCCCAAGTGCCACTTGCAGCGGCCATGAGAGACGAACAGTCCCTGCAACCCCTGGAAGTCAGCTGGCGGCCCTGCAAGGGCAAGCATGTTTACTCCCAGGTGCGGCAGCCTGGCCAGACAAGGATTTTCGCGCATGGCACTTGGGGTCCGGCTCCTTGCGGGCACAGTGCCGCACGCCGCCATCGCCCACTATCATGTTGCGGCCCATGCTTACCAGGGGGGTGCCGTGGGGCTGCGCGCAGGAGGGTTGCACGGTCTGCGGCACGCAGTTCAGCAGCAGCTTCAGGAGCAACCCAGAGACGGGCTGCAGGTGGGTGATGGCCCATCCCGAGGTGGGAAGACGGTGGGAGGCCGATACGGCCTCCCCCGGCGGTCGGCCGATGCTGTGCATAGGTCTCTTCGCCCTGGACTCGCAGGTAGGCCTCCCGGTAAGGATGTGCCCCATGATGGGCATGATGGCCCCCCACCTGGAGGGTCATTGGGGACATCATCCTCAATCATGCATCATTCTCCCTCCCGTTTGTTCTGTTGGCATCCCAGCAACCGTAATATGCTTTCTAGGACATGAGCCACCACTTTAGGGTGAAGGTGGTTAGCAAGACCACGGCCCCCAGGCCTCTAGACGGGCCACAGCCAAAAAGATCCCGTGCAAGTAGACCAGGACAACAAGCTCCCTTCAATGTGCCAGGGCAGGCCAGGCGGCGGGGTGAGAGGGATGACAACGAGGATGAGCGAGCACCCAGCGGCTTCTTAGGCTGGGGCGACCGGCAAGGACGCAAACGTGATCACTGGGAGGCTCGGCTCGGAGCGGACGTGGATGCCTTCTTGGCCTCTCTGCCGGGCCGGGCGGCGCAGCAGCGGCAGGAGCGCCAGCAGCAGCTCCAGCAGCGGCAAGCCCAGCTGGCCAGCATGGAGCCGCTTCCTTGCCACTTAGCAGCAGAAAATGGCAGCTGCTGTGAGTTGCACAAGACGGGCAGCCAGGCAGCTGTGTTTTATGGGCCGCTCGGCGTGGTGGGCAGGCTCACGTTGCCGGTATGGGAGTGCAAGACGCATGGGCGCCCCAATATCACCGTGCACCCTCTCCAGATCAGCTGTGTGCCGACTGCGCCAGTCAATAACACCAAGCTGCTTGATGTGGAGCTTGTCAGGCAGTTCCGCTTGCTGCAACTGCTCAACGGCGTGGGGGCGCACGGTAAGAGCATTGCATCTTGTGGCGCCCTGGCCCGCCCACCACTTCTACCTGCTACTGTCGCACTGCGGTCATTTCTGTGCAGATGCCAAGTGTACAGCTGCTGCTTCCATGTGTGCTGTGGGGCTCTTATGTCCATCTCAGCCCCAAGCAAGGGCGGCTACTGTCTCACAGTTGGCTGACACTCCCGTGTGCTGCCCTTCTTGAACCCCAAGTGCAGCCTACGTGCAAATCCACCACCTGATGGCCACTTCGCTGCAGCCTGACTACGGCCGCGACCTGCCGCTGGGTGATGAGGACCTGGCTGCAGCGGCGCATGTGTTTGAACGCTGGTGTGGGATTGCACAACGGTGCATTTGCAAACACCGGCATGTGGAGCCCATGATGAACTGCCTTGTTTGCGCCCTCAGCCTCCGGCCGTCCTTACACGATGGTGAGAGGCTGGCAGGGGGCTGGGGTAGGCTGTTCCAGCCAGCTGCTCACTGCCACCTTTGGCTGGCAGGCACTGTAGCTGGGGGCAAGCTGGGGGCAGACTGTCGCAGCTTGCTGCCCACAGCCAGCTTTAAGAGGCATGCTTTTGCAGGCGGGTGCTGCGGGCGTGGCAGGGGCATGAGGCAGGCTATACAGCTGTCTGGCGCAATCTT